GTTAAACATAAGCCTCTCCCGTAGGTGGTTTTGTCAGTAGTTGCCACGCTTGGCAAGCGGATTGGCAACCGCAGTTAATTAATATCATCATATTAGGTGTTAACTATTCATTGCTAAACATAAGCTTTCCCCTTTTAGGAGAATTTTGCCAGTAGTTGCCACGCTTGGCAACCGCAACTAGGTTTTTAGTGATGTTTTAACAGGGACACTGCTACCCATCCCTTTACCATCAAATTCCCTTAAAATATATAAATGCCTAATTTTCAACAAAGGTCTTTATTTGTTCCCATAAATGCGTATCGCACCGCTACCTAATATTCTAAGCTCCTTGTAACAGGCATTATTCATGCGACTCGCTATTTGTATTAGTTACAAATGAACGGCTACCAAAATAATTTAAATGCTAATTCAATAATTAAGCCGACCCACCCATGCTTGCGAACTATTGCATTGTTACATTTACATGTATTTAGGCAGCGTATTATCTATTGCGAGGTTTTTATACATATATACTGTTTATTATTCAGTATCTATGTATACCTACATCAAGTAGTGTAATTGTATGTGGGTGGTTGTTAAAAAGTTAATGTTAAATAGGTGTTTGTGTTTTGAATTAATTTCATTTAAGGTCAACACACGGCGATTTTGTATGGAGTAAACTATTATTATTATTTAAGTAGTAACAGTTATAATTAGGCATAGGTAATTTTTTATTTATTTATTTTATTTATTTTCTCCACAAATTTTACAGAAAATACAGCTATATGAAAAAAATACAACTATATATGTATAATTAAAATGGTCTGTAAAACTTGTGGGAGACTGGACCCTAAACTAGATCAGACATCTGTATCTCGGGCCCCCAACTCGGACACCATGTACAGCTTGCGTTAAGGCTAAAATTAAAATTTGCTAAAACGAATATACAAAACATAATAAAATGTGTGTGCATGCGTGCGTGCGTGCGTGCGTGCATGCGTGTGTAATATGGATGCTGTTTTGGTATCTATATATTGGGATCCTCTAGATTTTGATGACGGATAAAAGGTCATCACCTATTTCGATATCATCCATATCGGACGGATATTTAACTCCGCCTGCGCTATCGGTATACGAGATACACTGGTGTCCAGTGAGGGATGATAGGTGAGGATGAAAACAGGTTGATCAGCCCATCGATGGAAGTCGACCTGATAGGATATATTGCTACCAATTGGGCTGTTATACTCCATTACTAACAATACCTTTCTCCCCCTCCCCTCCATTATTGGATCTGTATACAGATATTGTAACTGAAATATATAGATATTGCTATATATTGTATTATCCGCCTCTGATTAAAATATTACTAGCAGACCCGGCAAACCTCGTTCTATCATCTAATTTAGGGATAGGGACACCCTACCTAGCGATTAGAAATATACTTTACGACCTATTCTAACACCTACCAAATATACGTACATAAAAAATTTCATAGAAAATGGTCGAGCCGTTTCAGAAGAATGCAACCATAAACATAGTATTTTTATATATATAGTCATTGTCCAACATTTTATTATTTACTAGTTTTTACACGTGACTTTGTCCTTATGATCGGGATATGTTTACTGACCGGTAAAAAGTAGCTTATATTCTATATCTTTATCCCATAAACTGTAAATACCGAATTTCATGGTGATTGATTAAGCCGTTAAGACGCTATAAGGTGACAAACGGACAAAGCCACTTTATAAAAAATTATAAACGTGAAAAAAAAAATATTTATATTATATTAAAAAATAAGAAATTTTAATCTGTAATGTTCCCGTGAATACTAGTCCTGGCTAGGATATAAAAAAAAAACTACGTCCTTCACTTCGTTAAATAATATACGACATTTTATAAAGATTGGTTGATATAAACAAAGTAAGTAAATTGAAATCATTATTAAAACTAAATAATTAATATTTTTTACTATAATAATTGTTAGATAATTATATTTTATTATATTATATTTACTTCAAAGAAAATAATTTTAAATATATATACTCATAAACTTATTAATGTATACTTAATAATAGTCTATATATTGAAAGTGTATACAAAAATAATTTTAGCATATAACTATCACGAAAAGATATTTAGTGGCATTTCTTTATTAAAGCATTTTGTTCTCTACAAAATAAACTACGAGAATAGAGAAACCAGATCTTCTATTTTGTAAATGGCTGCAAAAACCATCATTATCATATCCTCAGGCATTATTTGTCTATTGCTCAACATAGGCCTCCTCCACAGACTGCCATATAGAATGTCCCTGAGCCACCTGCATCCACTGACTCCTTATAATGCTGCAGGTAAAGAGTAAGTGGCTGCAAAAATAATTACCAAAAAATTTGTGGTAAAATCTCACATCTCACAAGCTTAGATAAGAACAGCATATTATATAGGTATATATTTATATACCTACACAGTAGATACTGATATCACCCGCTTACATTATAATGTAACAGGTACTTAAACTGCCATTAGCTGAAATGATAAATCGGCTGATAGTTTAACGCAATATTCTAAACATCGCAATCAATTACACCGCCGCGAACCGCCCATCAAAACGCGCAACAATTTACTAACTCTCCGCACAAAGTTGCTTGCCATGTGTAAATAAATTAAACTCATCACGCGGACGGAGTCGCGGGGGCAAATTAGTCGGCTCTTTGTGCAATCAAGCGAGCCCTTCGCGCCCTAATGAATATGAATACGGCTGAATACGCTCGGAATACTGGAACTCGTCCGCGGCCGCCGACGCAACTCATTACACTGGACGCCACTCACACCGTAACGTAATTACACAATAAAATTATATTACATTCCAAATTAATTTCTTTAATTTTTAATTCTATTTAATTTAACTTATAGTATCATAACTACTATTACTATGTGTGAGGGTGTCACCAGCTGATGTTAAGGGTTTAGGCCACCTTCGTTAAATATAAATTATAATAATTGACATAGTATGATTATAAAGGAATATGTGTATAAAACCTTTTGTACTTAGTTAATATAGATGAAAAAAATTTATGTATTATTGAATAGGAGAAAGACTTTAATGAAATATAGACAACACACTGATATGATTGGCAATTATAACTATCTTATCTAAGTTTTGTTATGCAGAATTAAGAAGGTTTTTTAATATACATTCAGATATCTCATATGAAATTATCGCGACAAACATAATTTGAGCTATAAAAGCATGGCATATTTAACCAGCAATCTCCTCAAATTTGGTACAAAATAGGGACTTCTGGAGAGTTTTTTGGAAGGAGCTTCCTTAATATTTTCTATTAAATTACGTAACTGTGTAAGAGCCATCCTTCTTATAGTTATGAATAGATACGCAAATTTGACTTCTGTTTGACTGTACCTACTGCCAGTTCATTTAGAATGAATAAATTCGTTATTTCAGTAACTGGCCAGCTGAAATTATTTAAATGGCAATAATAAGTACAAATTCACGTATAACGGTATAAAGTATTTACTTTATTACTGAATATGTATTCAATTTAATTATAATGAAATATTAGCTGGTATAAAAATATATTGAAACTGAGTTTGTACATATGTTTCAATTTTGTATTATTGTAATTAAAAAACGAATAGAAGACATATTAAAACATTCCTAAGTAATGCATAAGTAATGTAAACTTACAATTTAAATAGCTTAAATAATATTTAACTTTAAAAAAAAAATAATGAAATATCTAAGTTCCTTATTTCATAGTATTAATGTAATCTTTCGGAGCGAACAATAAAATATATAATATAGTATCTATCTATATATATATATATTGATATCGGATGCATAAATTTTTGTTAGACCTATTTAAAATGGTGGCCATTTCAGTCTAGTTTCGTAGTTGAATATTAGTATAATTTTTATGACCTTTTATGGTTTTTTGAACAATCTAAGTATTGTAATTTAATTGTCAAAATATCTGAATTGACTTCCGTATACTTTTCATTACTCGGCTAGGTATTACCTAATATACATGCATCAGTATATGAAGAAGATAGATAAGAATATATTTATAGTTCTAAAGCATTTTTTAAAATACTACACTACTACTTACTAAATAACTATAATCGCAGAGAGATGCTTGCTTATCCAAGCGTCGAACGGAAAAGAGCGAGAATCAACGAGAAACATTTTTACTATAAGAAATTTAGATCCCACCCAATTATTAATTATTTTATAAATTAATTACAAAATATAATAACAACAGAATAAATTATGATTAATTGAACGGAATAAATGTGATTTAGACATGTTGAAGCATATAATATTGTGCAAATAATAGTTTTATTGTTAGTTACGCTCTTTTTCTTCAAGCGAGATGTAAGCTAGTTGCCACTTATACTATTCTATTAAAATATATAATTTTTGTTATTGCATATAACTGTTATTTATAATTGCTAACTACATCGTTACAACGGTCGCTTTAAAGACATTAATAAAAACGTAACAAACATAATAAAAGAATGCCTTTGTATTTTCTCAAACATTAAGCCGCGTCACGAAAATCGCCGTTCTTATCTTTGAGCCAGCGTCATTAAGTACATTCGTGTTAACATTAACAATAGCCGTATACACTGTAATGATGTATAAAAAATAAAAAATAAAAAATCACAAACAGACCGTGCCACACAATCATCGTTGGCGTTATCTCATTCATTACCGAGAAAACACGAAGCTTTCCGGGCAAATTGCACCGACAAAAGTCAAAACGGTGTTCCCATGAAGTCATAGATTATATTCGTGATAGTGTAGTCGTAACAATTAAACGTAGCTCGGTTTAGAACAAAAAACGCCAGAACAACCGGTAGCGAGCGTGCCGCTAATATTAAAGAGGTCGTTACAGTCCCCGAGCTAACTAAAACAAAGGTTTACACGTTTCTTGTAAAATTAAACCGATGTTTATCTAATGCAGTAATAAGTTGAGCGTGCTCTTCATCGCACGTGCACTAGTTTTAACGAACTAGAAAACAGTTTTTATCGTTATTTCACTAAAGGTAAACGTTTACTGTGTCACCGGTCTAATGGTTTCTAATGTTTTAAAGCTTGTTAAAGGTAACAAAACATTTTTATATAAAATTTAATGAGTTAATTTCAAAAATGCTATCGTAATGTCCGCCTTTAACTGTGAACATACTAACCAGGGGGGAGGTGTTCTACTATTTAAATATTTAATTATTACACTTTTTTTTACATTAAACTTATATTAAAATGCCAAAGAAAATATAAATTTTACAGAAATTGACAAAATGTGGGAATATCGTATATTGCGTTCTCTATAATGATTAATAATCGATAAATACCTCTACCTATCACATTAGAAATAACAATCAATAACAATCCCTTTAAGAGATAAGTCCGCCTGTGTACATTTTTGTTATAACCTAATATCTATGTTAAAATTGAATGTGCAAAAGCATATACATAAATAAATACTTCGTGGAAACTAAGCATTTATATTTTTTTGAATATTTTACTGAACTAAGTGTTATCTTGTGGAAGTCCATAGTGACTACCAACACTCAAAGATTTACCACCACTATTACTACCAGAAATACTTTTTTCTTTATGTAAAATAATTTAAATTTAAAATTTACTTCAATAAATTATTTAAAAGACTATATAATAGTTTAATGACCTTTTTAAGATTTCAAAAGTTATTAATAAGTATTTGTTACCTCATAACTCTTTCATTTATAAACCGATTTGGAAAGTTCTTTTTTTTATATAAAAAGATAATATATCTTACATAATCTCATACAGATTATAACAAAATCTGTTTAGTCTTTAAATCAAAATAACTGATTTTGCTAGTTTTGTTAGTTTTTTTTTGTGGAACACAGTATTGTTTTTTATATCTATGAGCTATAGTCCACAGGTTTATCCGATTGTTACTTAAGATAGAGATATTATAATGTATTAATTCTATCCTTAATGACGTTATACACGTTATATCAATAATATTCAAATCTGTTCTGCCTTTAAACAAATATGTAAGTTTATAAAAATATCAAACGTTCAAAACATTAAGGTAAAAGTAGGCACTGAATATAATATGTCGTGTAAATATCATGTACAGGGTGAATTAGTGGTACGCAAAGCTGGGAATCTATCCATGTTATAGAACAAAATATGATATAGGACAAAAAAAACGACGACAAATATAAAGCCTCGCATACTAATTAATAATCCCATAACAGCTTGACGCTATTTGAAGATTTTTTGTCAATTCGGATCTATGTTTCTTTAGTAAAAATGCTCGGTTTCACTAGTATAACATTCCTTTCGAAGAATATTTTCCATTTCGATTTCACCCTGTCGATTTGTTTTTTAATTTATTTATTTTCATCATAAAAATCAAATTAACAAACAAGCTCATCTAAAACCATAGAATTATATCTGGGATTCCATACATACTATATAATTTTATTTTTACAATAATTAATTAAATCCTTCCAATGTCCGTCACACTTTTCGCTGCGTACGCGCCGGCGCTCATCGCGCTCTCGTTTCCCGGTAGTGACGTAATCTCCGCCCATATCTGTCCCCCCCCCCTCATTCTATTTAAATATCTACATATTACACTGTTTTTTTTTACATTAAATTTTGCTACAACAAATACTAAGTAACATTTTTTTTTAATTATATGTAGTTCAATTACGCTGAACCTTTAATTTGATAGTCTTACGAAATTATTATTTTATCTACCGTCATAAACTAGATATTTAATAATTTTGACTTTTACTATTAGAAATTTGATTCATATTGGTCCGTATGTACAATAAAGATATCGCTTTGGTATATTGAAATTTTAATTATAGAGATAGGTTTAGAGAAATGGGTCTATAGAATCGATTTCAATGTAATTAACCATGTGGTAACGGTGTAAAAATACAATGTGTCATGTTTTCATTCCCAGGATGCCGAATGAGAAACATGTATCGACGTACTCAAAACAAAGCCAAATTCTTGCCCAGCGTGGTAGTCAGACTATAGACTTCCTTCGAGATCCGTAGGTACCCATATAAAGATGTACCGATTCTTTTACAATCTTGTTGATCTACCCAAATTGGGGGTAAAATAATTAACAATAAAATTATTCTATCTAAAATACGTATAAATATTCTTTTTTAAGTTTTTTACATATTTTTCTCCACAGATTCAAAATATGCTGCGGATTACATCTGGGATTACCACAAAACTTTATAAAATACGTTTTTGGTGTCCACTAATATAGCACTTGATGACGGATGTAAAGAATAAGTTGGACAGAAGAAGATCAATGTAGAAGTTCTATTACAGACTAAGTAAATACTCAAATTATTGCTCATCATAGAAAAGGGGAAAATGTCACGTAACTATAATGAGCAAAATCGCTGGCAAGAGAAGGATCTAGCGCAGAAAAAAGACTTGGTTTCGTAATATCCGAGAGTGGACGATCATTGTGAGTGCAGCTGAATAATTCCATTTCGCAAGAAAGAAACACAAATCCCATGAGCTGTTAACTAGTCTTTACTAATTGGAGACCCACTATAAGATCGATGATACACAACGTTATATTATAATGGGTATATTAAGTCAAAACCCTATCGAATTTAGGCTTCATTTAAATAGGAAACGATAGATGTTTTTTATATTTTATTCCTTTGCCTTCTAATTTTAAATCCTAATTTTTTTGTTACATATCTCCTAAGTTTATTTTCTAGTTTCTTCGCTTTTATTTTGATTTATAATATTGCTACACTTAATTTCTTTTTATTTATATTACTTTTTAAGTTGCATGAGTCTATGAATATTTTTTTTTCTTTTCTTAATGCTAAATCGACTACGGAACCGCTTGACTTGATTTTTCTATTAACTACTCTATAGCTTCAAATATATTGGTATGCGGAATACCAGAAAACGGGAATTTAATGTTGGTAAATATCGGAATACATATGAATATCTTTGAAATTTACATTTATACGTGTTCTAATAGCTTTATTAGATCAATATCAGAAAAATGGGTCGTATCAATAGTGAAATGTTCAGAAAGCGCGCCCCGAAGGGTCGGCGGCGGTCTTCGCGCGGCCCAAATGTTTTTAAGAAATTGCAAATGTCGTGGAAACGCTGACTTGACACGATCGATGTAAAGGATTGTCTACTTGTAGACGTGGTGGACCCAATCTCGTAATAATATGCTTGGGAACGGACATTGTAGTGAATCAACAATCCTTACTTTTTCACTAATGCAGGATAAAAACTAAAGTTTTTGCTTTCTTTCATAATATGTGTATATATATAATTCTAACACTAAAATCGATTTTCTTTTTAAATATGGCCTAAAAATGTTAAAAATTTAGAAATTCCCATAATTATCAGTTGGCTGCTACGTGTTAGTATGGGAGACTATACATTTTGATATATTTTTTTTGTTTTTTTCTTTTTGTTGGGAACAATGCTTAGTTTCAACGGTAGAATATTCTATTAGAGTTTTCTACTTTACCCGTTTACTACTTTTATTATAAGTGTTTGAAAAGGTGTTTGTTACTAAATTTCCTTTAAATGGATGAATGCATTTAAATGAAATTTGATACACAAATTCTATCATATATAATCTACATATACATATATAACCTAGTTTAATAAATTTCGCGAAACATAAACAAAAATACAAGTAAACTGGAAACCTACTCCATTTGTATATCGCTTAAGAAAATGTAATCATGAAGAATACAAATTCGATTAAAATACAGCCATAACGGAATCCTTAAAACCCACCCTAACAGGGATCAAAGACAGCGATCGCAACTTTAAATTCCTTCACAATATTACAACAGTCCTCACGAAATTCCCTCACAATTGTAATTAATGCAACTCTCAATCCGGAAATATCTGCGTACTCCATCAAACTCGGCGCGATCACAAAGGCAATCAAATGCTCACAAAATAGTACTGTTCAAATTAAACCGTGCAAATTCTAACTGGGTACGAAAATACCCCGGATTCCACGAACAAGTGGCAAAATTACGGAGCGACCCTTGCCTTTTAACCCTTCTTGTCATTTGAAGAACAAATTAATCATCATCATTTACATGCAGCACCAGCGCCAATAGCCAGATTTGTTTCTACGATTATGTCACCCTCGCTCGTTAGAGGAGGGGTGGCCTGGAACAGATTTGAGGGCATGTATTAATATTTTGCAGTCTTAATTAGAGTTACAATTCATTGGGTCATTAACATTTAAATATTTTTTGTCTTTCGACTATAAACCTTGTTTTATTTTTATGTTCCACTAATTACTTTAAATATATATAATTTTAAAATGGTTAGAAAAAATTAAAATAATTGAGTGATATAAATGTATAATAATAATATTAGTTTATTTCAAAGTAAATGATACAAACACCTTTAAACATAGGTGAAACCCTGTTCCCTAAATAGGTAAATCCTGTACTTTAGGATAAGCAGTGCTCTTACCTGTACGGCATAATGACACAATAAATATAACGCTTAAGGTATTATACAATAGCATATAATACAATTTGTTTAAATAATATTTTGTAGATGAATCATGACTGTCTAATTTGTGAGTATATGAAATGGATGAGTTATTGTAAAATGGCAGTCATAACCTATATATACTATTAATAATAAGTCTTCAGTTTAACAAAAATTGTCAGTGACTGGCTGACAAAAGAATTGGCAGCCAATTACTGACAATTCTTTTGTCAGCCAGTCAGTATATATGTTTTGTTTATGAATATATAGATAATTATATGTATGTCCTTTTGGATTATTTTGATCGTTTCTTTTTATAAAAAGTAAAATATCAATAATGTGATCATTTTTATGATTTTGTGTCATTGTTTTATTGATGAAGATTTTTTATTGGTATAAAATGTGTATCTATATCTATATGTAGATATAATATATTTATGTATAATACTACATAATATACTACATAATATATAATATGTATCAAAAAGATATTAAATATTAAAAAGTTCTTTTTACTTTGGTTTTTTAGTAACTGTCACTATTATTATAACAATTATGCTTAGTTTATAGTTTATATAAAAACTTTCATTAGGTGTCAAGTGCATCATGTATACACTTTTTTATATAATTATGAATTGAAATTAAAATCAATAAAGTAAATTGTAAAGTTTTGCCTTAAAAAGGTTACAAATCAAGTATTCTAAACATACTCCATACCTTTTTGTTCGCCCATCCGTACACGCATAGCACAGAGGCAGTGCGTCAGTGGGCAGCGTCAATTATTGCGTTCATTTGGATTTCGGCATAACGCCACCGTCCGGCGCGACCGTTGAAGGGTTGACATAAAGGACGCGTGACGAATTGTCCGCTCTCACAGAAAATTAGTTGGGACTTTAATGAATTTATTTTGCACGTTAGCATCTGGCGTACGGTGTTGGTTATATTAGTATTTAGATTAGTATGTGAATATTAAATTCAAGTTTAATATTACTTTAATTACTGACAAAAAATTAATGTCAAAATAGCAGAATCTAATTAAAAAAAAGGAGTACTAAGAATGAGATACGTAGTAAGAATAGCTGTAAACTTAACATAAAAAAAACATAAAAGAAAAAATACATAAATAGTAAGAGCAAAAACACGTTATAGTTGTTTACTTTGTAAATTCATTTATTTCAATATTTCATAATAAAAAGAAGTGCGTAAAATCTTAAGAAATTGAATTAAACAAAATGAAACAATGTTATGTTATTATGTTGATTTAAAAGATATATTTAAAAAGTACTTTTTAAATTGAAAATTAAATTGGACCCTGTCAACTCGAAATGGCTCGAGCCGTTCTATCATAAGACGGAGATTCAAACTGAAGTTTCTTTTATTAATAGCGGAAGTTTTTGCCGGTTCATTAGTTCCAACCCCTCCGAATCCAAGAGGTGCATGAAAGAAACGATCGCTAAGATCCTGTTGACATTACTTCTAATATTCCAGGATTAAAAACACCCTCGCATAATTTAAAACGAAATCACGACTTTGGTGACAACTTCGTCGGGGTCTTTGATGCTTTTTTACATGCCATCACTCCTCGTTAATACAAAATTTATTACTTAAAACCTAAAATTATACCTTCCTATTGTCTCTGGTAAGACATGTGATCAGAACAATACCTCCATAATTTACTTTAAGATACATCCCAGTTCTATACGCCAGATAAAGTCGTGATAACAAATGGTAACTAAAATAATAAAATAAACCGCATCTCCGAGGCAAGCGACATATTTCATTAATAAAGGCAAAACAAACAAGACATCATATGGACTCACTTCGCAGTGTCCATACTTTACTGAGATAAAACAAAAGATTCGAAAACCCGTTGAATTTATGCGTTATCGAACTACGACTGATGCTGGATTTGAAACAATGGGCGATCGTGGCGCCCCATGTGGCGAGGGGTATCAACATAGATAAATACAACGCTCACCGAATAGGTGCTTAGCGACATCTATTACTGAATAGTACAAACCAGCTCTTATTGTTTTAGTTGTAAACAGGAGGTGAGGAGAGGTTACGCGCATCTGAATAAGAATTTTATCGCTTCTATCGCCGAGGTCAAGACGTAAAACATAATGTAGCTACAACAATGTGACACGTTTAAAGTTTAAACATTGTTAACTTTATATATTCAGCGTGTTATTAATTGTATCTATACAATAGACAAATATATTACGGATTCTGCCCAAAAAGTTAAATAAAGTGTCCGCCAATGGAAAAAGCGGTGAATTTTGCCAAAAATATTCATAAGCTGTCATCAGGCGACTGGACCCACGCCAGATGCGGCAAACCGAGGACAAAATATTTCGCTGCAAAATACTTACTCAGGCAAATCACCCCACGGCTCTTTAAAATCAGTTTTGAGAAATTGAGCGGCAATATTCTTTGAACTTTAGAGAAATTATTAAAAATATGTTATAAAAATAAAATAATGTAAAATTGACCCATTAATTGACAATGTTGATGTGTATAGATTAATTATTTTCAGAGATAACTATTCCTAATCTATAGCTTCTAAAATCGAATCAAATTTACTGGCATAAACAAATAATGTATAATTGCGTATGTTATTAATGTAAGGTTACCATAAGAGTTCGTTCCTCTCTGTTCATTAATCAGGGATTCTTACCCCTAAAAGTATAAATAATTATCTTTACAAGTTTATTAATTTCCAAAAATATAAATATAATAATTACATATCAATAAGTTAATACTAATCTCTATTTAGAGACTATTTTTACATAGAGGATGCATTTTTCAAACAAAAACTATAACATATCTCTATTACGTACGCTGGCAGGAATTACAAACATTTAAATTGTACTTTATTTTTAATATTTATTATATTTATTTATAATAAGTTTACTATTGTAATCTTTTGGAGGAAACAATAAAGAGTATCTATCTATCTTTATATTTAATTTTTGTTCTTCACATTTTATTTCTGTTTTGTATTATATTATAGATATTTAGACATAAAAAGTGAAGATGTGTACTAAATTTGTTTTAAATATTATATACTTATTTTGACCGGGAATATATGTTTACATTCGTTTGATTTATTTTTAATACTTTCAGTAGTATTCAATATAATAATCTACTTATTTAATATTAAAATGAAACAAAACTGCACCGACCCCTGAGTCCTTTAATCCTTTACTTCAATTTGCCTTATTGCAAGTTTACGACTTCTTTTATCCTTTCTCTATGATTAATGTCCTTGGATATACTATTCTTACAAAACAGTGTTCGTTTCCGCGTGTTCCCTAAACGCGCCATTATTTAAAGTCACTGACTCGTTGCGCAGTTATTTATGCCTCGCATTAAAAACAAAATGATATGCCTTCGCCGCTGAAAATCTAAAAAGAATAAGCAATAAAACGATAAAACCCAAATCTGATACATACTAGGGCCGCAGTATCTCGTCAGGCGTTAGAGTGGGACGGAGCAATACATCGGCGAAATGAATACGATGCTACTGTTTCATCTCTCACCTCTATCGGTTGGCGATCTCTGAAGCGTCCTAACTCTTGCCGTAATAAAACCAAATTGGACCTTAGGTCTGCGCATTAAGCCACCAGTATCGAATGCAGATTACAACAAATGGATTTGAGATTAATATAGTACGAGTGCCACCCCGTCTCATACCACCCCATTCGGCGCTCAGCATTCAAATAGGAATCGAATGGATGACCAAAACATAATATCGTTGGAAGATTCTGCCGCCATAAATCAAATGAGAAATAATCTGTTTCGGAGAGATAGTCACCGATGGCGCGCCACCATAAAAACGCGAACCGTTTTGTCTGATTGAAATCATTGCGTTTGTAGCGGCTTTTTTCGTGGCACTGTTTCCATTTTATTTTCCCTGATGTATAATCAATGTGTTAACGGATGGCCGCGAGCCGAGGGCTTCGGAGTAGATTTGCGACACAAAAGATTCTGATATTGAGTTTGAAAGTAGTTTCTCTTCTTTTATGTTAATGGCACTTTCAGTGGCGCTCGGTAATGGCTTGTGCGAATAAATGTCCCACTTTAAGTAAAGGACACATGGGAAGGGTTACGCGTTTTGTTTACGGCTCAGTAATTTTCATATTTGAATACCACTTAGTACTGAAATGTACGATAGACGCTAGAAGTGGCGTTTTATTGTGTAGTTGGGAACAAGGTGCGAGACGACGAGTTATATTATGTGTTGCTTCGAACACGGCCTACAATAAGACCTGTTTCGACCTTTACCAACCAAGAAAATGAAATAAATATTTTGTTTGCCGACTTCTCTTGACATGTTATGAGAGGACACACCTGAAAATAATAAAAATTAAAAGATATACGTAATTTCAATAAATGTTAATGCATTTTAAACCGAATTTAGATTATACAACTATTTAAAAGTATAAAACAATTCATTCTATAGAACAGTTTCATAAAGTTCAAATTTAAACACGTAATCTACAAATTTCTCTTTTATTTCGCCATTTGTAGAAGAATGCAAGAATGCAAGAATCATGGGTCAACAATCAGCTTTAAAACTTTAGCAATACTCCTTTCATATCATATTAACATAATAAAATTAATAGTATAATATTTATTGCTTTTTTAAAAAAAGAGTACGTACCTACGGAGCACTAAACAGTTGTAGTTTTCAGTTCCACGCAGAATTAGTGCACATAATTCAAAATTAGAATCCTACATATGAAACTGTTAATAGACTATTAAGTTCATTAACAGAATATCTAGAAACTTATATAACAATTTGCTCGCTACCTTCTACGTATGGATTTCAAACGTAGGAAATAAGCGTATAATGATAAAACCTAATAAATAAAAATAAAAATAGAAAAAGAGAATAATTGTGAAAATGCATCCATTTTGGTGTAGTAATTTTTGCGTGGTACCGGAACAAATATACAGACTGACTATATTTCTATTCTGATTTGGCTTCTATTGCCCTTATTAAGACCCTTCATATACATAATAAAACCCCTTACATATATAAATTAAGAAAAATTATATATTATATATTCATGTATAAATATTATCTAATTACAATTTTATTATATATAACATCGTAAGATTTTGTCACTTTGTCAGTATGTAGTTTACTGATGCTTTAGATATATTTTGTAATTAAGCAGCAATTTCATCTAAAGCATCTAAATCTTTAATAAATCTCATAATTAGAATATTGTAATGGTCAAATTAGT